ATTATCTCCTTTATAAGTGAGCATCTTTCCAATATAGGAAGATCTAGAATTAAGTTTAGAAACCTAAATTAAACCCATGATATTAATGTGTTTTGTGTGTCAATACATCCACACAGCCCTGGCCAGTGTGGCTCAATTGGTTGAGCCTTGTCCTGTGCACTGAAAGGTCACTGGTTGGATTCCCAGTCAGGCCACATGCCCAGGTTGTGAGTGCATGCGGAAGACAACAGAGTGGATCTTTCTCTCTTTCCCCCTCCCTCTCCCCCTCCCCCTCCCCTTTTCCCTCTTTCTCCCTCCCCCTCTTTCTCTCCCCACCCCTCTTTCTCTCTCTCTCTCTTAAAAAATAAATAAATGAAAGTAGGTTATTAAAAAAAAAACACTTCCATACATATTTGGTATCTAACTTCTGCATTTTGCTTTCATTTAAGCAAAGTGGCCCAATAGAATAATAGGGCAGTCCTGTGATTACAATATTAAAATGTGTTACTGATTTTGGAGTTATGATTTTAAGTTAAAATCATATTAACAGTACTGTTCCATTTAGGAGAACTTAAGAATAGCCATATTTGTTGTTTAATTTACTGGAATTAAAAGACTTAAGAACTTGGGAACATTTTGTCTTTCAGGTAAGTATTTTTTAATATTTAAATGTATAAAGCAATTTAAAATGTTTCAAGGAGTTTAGCTAAGTTTGCAAGTGGGACCCATAACCCTACCCTCTACTCCCAATTCCTTTACTTTGCTCTGTCTTTAACTATAACACTGGCAACTCAACACACAGTATACTTTTTTCTTCTTAAAAAATATTTTTATTGATTTCAGAGAGGAAGGAAGAGGGAGAGAGAGACAGAAACATCAATGATGAGAGAGAATCACTGATGGGTGCCTACTGCACGCCCCCTGCTGGAGACAGAGCTCACAACCCAGGCCTGTGCCCTGAGCGGGAATAATAACTGTTTGTGGGAATATAAATTGATGCAGCCACTGTGGATAACAGTATGGAGGTTCCTCAAAAAAAAAAAATTAAAGTAGAACTACCATATGACCTAGCATATGGATAAATACTGGCATTTATCTGAAGAAAACAAAACAATAACTCAAAAAAAGATATGGACCGCTATGTTCAAGACAGCATTATTTATCACAGCCACGATATGAAAACAGCCTACATGTCCGCCAATGGATTAGTAAATAAGTAAAAAGATGTGGTGTGTATGTACACACACACACACACACACACACTCACACACACACTCACACAAACTGTCAGTCATAAAAAAGAAGGAAGGGTTGCCATTTGCAATAATATAGTTGGTTCTTTTTGCTTAGATGTGGAATCTAAAAACAAAATAAACAATCAAACAACAAAACTCATAAAGGGAACAGACTGGTGGTTATCAGCAGGGAAGGGAGTCAGAGGTGGGCAAAATGGGTAGAGGGGTCAATTGTATGGTGACAGAAGGAACCTAGACTTACTGCGGTGATCACTTTGTACGGTGTACAAATACTGAATTAAGTTGTATACCTGAAACTATTATCATGTTATATACCAGTTTTACCTCAATTAAAAAAAGGAAGGAAAAAGAAATAGCCCTGGCCGAAACTGGTTTGGCTCAGTGGACAGAGCATTGGCCTGCGGACTGAAAGGTCCCAGGTTCGATTCCGGTCAAAGGGCACGTACCTTGGTTGCGGGCACATCCCCAGTAGGGGGTGTGCAAGAGGCAGCTGGTCAATGTATCTCTCTCATCGATGTTTCTAACTCTCTATCCCTCTCAATTCCTCTCTGTGTAAAATCAATAAAATATATTATTTAAAAGAAAAGAAAAAGAGAAAAAGAAATAGCCCTGGCTGGGTAGCTCAGTTGGTTAGAGCATCGTCCCTATCGACCAAGGTTGTCGGTCTGCTTCCCGGTCAGGGCACATACAAGAATCAACCGATAAATACATAGGTAAGTGGAACAACAAATCAATGTTTCTCTCTCTCTCATTCTCCCTTCCTCTCTCTTTCTCAAGGCAATTTTTAAAAATTTACCAAAAAAAAAAAAAAAGTATCCGAAAACTGGTCTCTGGGATTTCTCTTCCAGTCTAGCTTAAATGTCACTTCTGCACTGATCTCTCCTTAATCAAAAATGCCAAAAGGCCCAGCCGGTATGGCTCAGTAGTTGAGCATCGACCCAGGAACTAACAGGTCACTGTTTTGATTCCTGGTCAGGACACATGCCTGAGTTGCGGACTCCATCCCCAGCAGGGGGCATGCAGGACGCAGCCAATCGATTCTCTCTCATGATTGATGTTTCTCTCTCTCTCTCTCTCTCTCTCTCTCTCTCTCTCTCTCTCTTTCTCTCTCTCTCTCTCCCTCTCTCTCCCTCCCTCCCTCCCTCCCTCTCCCTTCCTCTCTGAAATCAATAAAAATATATTTTAAAGAAATTTCAAAAGGTTCTAAAAGTCCACAATCTATGGATCAAATCTATGGATCTCGGCATGGCATTCAAAGTGCTATACAATATGGCATCACCAGCCTATTGCCCATTCTCCTCCTAGTACACCATGGGCAATCTGCTCTGGCCATTGCCCTGAAATGTCCCAAACTCTTATCTAAACCACATACATTCTGTAAGTCCCTACTCCATAACTGCCTCCTCCAGGAAGTCTTCCTGGTTCAACACTTCCAAGCAAGTCTCCTCCGAACTCAGATTATTCCATCATGTGGCCTTTCATTAAATGTCACCTTGATAAGAATGATGTGCTGCTCTTCTAAACTCATATTTCACTGTGCCTGAGTGCATCCCTGGTTTGACAAGACTGGGGGCAGCCAGATCAAGGTCAGCAGGCCGTGTCAGACAGGCTGCCTGCAGGAATGAATCCCACAGATCAGTGATCAAGGCGCAATCGGCACAGAACACTGTGCCAAAGACTATAACCTGAGGGCAAGGAAGCAGGAGGCGGGGGGGCTGGGAGAGCTGACAGGTCCAAGCGGAAGAGAGACCAGATCAGATGGCAGAGGAGTGTGGGCCGTGGAGCCAGCAGCCAGGAGCAGAGGGTGGGCCAGGTGCAGGGCTGGGCGGCAGTGCAGGCTCCCTGGCCGGAACCGGGCTCCTCATGAACCTCACATTCCTGCCTGGTGGCACGGCTGGCCGGCCGCCACTGCCTGGGCACAGAGCCTCTCAGAGCGGCGTCTGATCCTCAGAGGAGGCTCCTAGAAGGCGGGGACCACAAATGTGCTTCTCATGCCGAGGCCCTCAGAGTCTGTGCGAAACAAATGCGTCTCCGAAAAGCCTCCATTCTCCTCCTCAGTTGTGGTTACCCACTTTCTGGCTGTCTCGGCCACACCTAACAACTGAGGCTCCTCCATCTGTAATATTTACATGTGGGCTGCTGGAGAATCCGAAAGGAGAGTTCCCTTCTCTGCTTTCTGAAGGCAGACAGAAAAGAATCCACTTCATTTGTTTTAATCTACTTAAATATTCGTGTGTCCTGCCACCAGTCCACAGAAGACACCCCTCTAGTCTCAGTGGTGTGTCCAAAACTCATGTTGGATTCCTCCCCCCCCCCCTTCTTATTGATTTCAAAGAGTAAGGGAGAGGGAGAGAGAGAGAGAAACATCAATGATGAGAATCACTGATTGGCTGCCCGAGCCCACAACCCAGGCATGTGCCCTTGACTGGAATCGAACTCGGGATTCATCCAGGCCGTTATTCTGTGGAAAAGCCACACTCAAGGGGCCAAAGAGCCTCATGTGGCTCGTGAGCCGCAGTTTGCTGACCATGGATCTAGACTATTAATACCCAAGGTGTGGTCCTGGACAGCAATGTCAGCACCACCTGGGGCTCCCTAAAAACGTGGGCCACCCCGGACCCACTGAATCAGAATCTGTACGTTCCCAAGATCCCAGGCAATTCTTATGCACATTTGAAATCTAGAAGCACTGATTTAAAATAAAATGTTTCTTGAAACTTTAGCTCTAAAGCCATATATGCTTACTGTAAATGGTGAAGAAAAACATGAAAGAATCAGATGAGTTCCCCCATAAGCTGTGGAATTTGTAGGAATTTTCCCCCACTCCCCATGTGACACCAGGAGCACTGAGAATGCAAACATTAGCTGCACCCATCGAGGGCTGGCCAGGCCAGGCGCTGGCACTGCTGATACAAAGAGAATGAACTTAACTCTTCACAGGCTGGTTAAGTGCTTTGCCAAGAAAACACCTGGCTGGGTGGAGGCTGGACAGAGGTATTCACATAGCGAAGAACAAAAACCCAGTTTGCCTCACTAATAATCATTGTTTCTGAAAAACATGATCAATTCTCCCAAGTCCTAGTTTGCAACACTCTCAGGAAATCAACTGTCTCACCTAAAAGGTAATACCCACTCAGCCCGCACCATTACGCTACAGCAGTGTTTCCCAAACTTTTGACATATGTGTACTCCTTCTATAATTTTCGTAACGCTGAGTACCCCTTGTACTCATGAGAACGTAGAATTAGGCGCAGCTAAGCACGGTGCAGTGCATATCCCCACCAAACTCCGGTGCAATGCGTACCCCCACCAAACTCTTCCCGTACCCACACTTTGGGAAACACTGCGCTACAGGAATCACGAGAAGTGCTTTATATACGTTATCCTGTAAGTGTTCCCAGCAAGTCTTGTGGCAACGATTTAGCACACCCATTTCACAGATGAGGAAACTGAGGCTCAAAGCATCTGAGTGATGGAACCAGACTACGCTTAGGTCTGTTTGAGAGTAAAACCCATGGGATGGGTTTGTGGCCAAGTCACTGGGGAGGAGTAGCTTCCTCCCCTGTAAAGTCCTTTGCTTAAAAAACAGCTTCAATGAGGTCTAACCTGCACAAGGTAAAGTTCACCACACGTCATTCTGAAGATGGTAAAGCAAGTGAACATTCCTGGAAAGGAAAAAGTTCTTTTCCCTCTGAAAGGAAGGCCCACGGCGTGGTGAGCCGGATGAGCAGGTTTCCCAGAAGCGCCCGGAGTGGGAATGCCTACCTTGGATTCCGTACAGCCGGTTGAGGCGTGACCGCCGGGCCTCGTCGGTGTAGGGGACAGCGAGCCAGGGCATCTCACTGAAGTACTGCTTGAATGAGTCCTCTGACCTACAGAGACACACATGGAAATAAGGCTCTATTACCCCGAATGCACCACTGCTGGGTCCTCTCCACCTTCCACCAAGCCGTGCCCAGGGCTCTGCAGATGCAGAGGCATCTGAGCGTGCTCAGACACAGAGGGTCATTCTGTCCACTCTGGTGCACGTCGGGAAGCAAGTGCCTCCATAGGGCTGGTGGGTACCAAACTGCAATGCCAGGCCATCTCAACAGCTTGCTCCCCTGCATCCTACTAGTTTACTCATGTCCAACTTTTCTTTTTTTAAAGTATACTTTTATTGATCTCAGAGAGGAAGGGAGAGAGAGAGAGGGAGATAAAAACATCAGTGATGAGAGAAAAATCATTGATTAGCTGCCTCTTATATGACCCACACAGGGGATCGAGCTGGGAATTGAACTGTGACCTCCTGGTTCATAGGTGGATGCTCAATCACTGAGCCACTGCACCCAACCCAACTTTTCATGCTCAACACAGGTGGGTCTTGACACACTTTTATAAGAAACCAAGATGTTCAGACGCTGCACTTCCTGTGACACTTCTGCATAGTAACAGTGGTGTGTACAGGGCCACACTTTTAACCAATCATAGACACTATGATGCCACATATTAGAAACTGCAGGAATGACCAATCTAATTAAGCAACAGCCAAGAAATCAGATTAGGGGGACCTTGAAAAGGAGGCTTGGGGGTGAGAACTGACCGAGGAGAGGCATGGGAGTCTTGAGTGCTGGAAATGCTCTCTGCTGTAATTGTGATGCTTACACGGCCACATTTGTCAAAATGCATTGAACTGTGTACCTAAAATGTCTGCATTTCATTGTATGTCAATTATTCTGCAGTAAAGTTGATTTTTTAAAAAGCTTTAAACATGTTATTACTCCACCTGGCATGCTTCAAGCTTGTCCCCACTCACAGGCGCTGAGATGGAAGCCAGGGAGCAGGGGGAGGGACCACGGCTTGAAACAGCACAGACGCCAAGGCTGCCTCAGCGTGTAACACGCTCTCCCTGTGCTGGCTCTGAGAGAGCCCTCTGTGAACAGGAGCTCAGAGGCAGAAGCCCCTGGCGCTCGGTCTGAACTGGGGCAGAGCTTTGTGATGTAGGAGGGTTGCTGATGAATAAAGCCAGGGAGAGGGAAGAGGCAGAGGAAGACAAGGTCCAGGAAAAAGGTCTGCCCCTCTGGTTTTTATGATGACCCCAGACAAAGTTTGTGGCCAAAGGTAAGGAAGGTGACTGCACAGCCAGCTAAGACAGGCATCTCAATCCATTAGCCTCTGCTCTTTTCTTTTCATCCCCCCACCTCCCCTAATCCTGGGCCCAAATATCCTTTCACCATAATCCCAAAAGCTGAACAAATCAGGAAAATGCATCCTAATCTCAAACGAACCCGGCCTGAATTAGGACCTGCCAACCTATTTACAGCAAGAACAAGGCTTTCTCGGCTTCCCCTCGGACAATTCCCTGAGTACGGGGGAAGTGCATCCGTTCCTCTGCCAATAATCCCAGACACGCTTCCCCCAACCCCAACCTCCGAGCTCTGCCCCATGGAAGAGGCGTGAGAAGGCGAGGCCGAGGCCCGCTAACCGGCTGCAGCTGCGGGCCCGGCGCGCGTTACCTGTCTGCGCTAACGAAGATGATCTCGAATTTCTGGCCTGCCTCCTTGATCTTCCGGTAGGACTCCACCAGGACCCGGGTGAGGCTTCGGCACGGGGGACACTGAAAGACAAGAACAGGGTCCTGAGCGTGGCTTGGCACCCCCAGCATCCCCTCTCCCAGCCACCTGCCATCACAGGGAGGCCAGCAAGGGCCTAAGGTGACCAGAAGTCCCAATTTTTAAAAATTTGTCCCACGTCCCGTGGCATTTTAAAAAAGTCTTTTAGCCGAGACCGGTTTGGCTCAATGGATAGAGCGTCGGCTTGGGGACTGAAGGGTCCCGGGTTCGATTCCGGTCAAGGGCATGTACCTTGGTTGCGGGCATATCCCGGGTAGGGGGTGTGCAGGAGGCAGCTGATCGATGACTCTCTCTCATTGATGTTTCTAACTCTCTATCTCTCTCCCTTCCTCTCTGTACAAAATCAATAAAAATATATTAAAAAAAAAAAAAAGTCTTTTAAAACGCCTCGGGACGCAGGACATATTATTAAAAATCAGGACTGTCCCGCCAAAAGCGGGACGCCTGGTCACCTTAAGCAAGGCCCACGTACAGTTGGGCTGGGAGAACCTGGTCCATAAAAGAGGCAGACACAAGCATGATGCCCTGCATCCAGCACAGGCTCCCCCCGCCCCCTCCCGGCCTGTCAGCAGGCAGCAGTCAAACCCGCTCAGGGACCACGAGAAGCCTCATCAGAATGGCTTAAGAAAGCTGTCCTTTTAGCCAAAAGAAGTCCTTTTCTTGCTGCTATCATCATTCCTAATAACAAGCGCTCACTGCATGCCAACCACAATGCACTGGGCACAGGAGAAAGGAAGGACACCTGGAAATTAGGCCCCGGCGGTCACTCCTCCAGGCTGGCTGAGGCGGCATCTCCCTGCGCCCCTCTGTCTGGGCTGAGGGGGGAGCGAACACTCACCCAGTGCGCGGAGAAATAGACGCCCACGTGAGACCCCTCCAGGCTGCTGCTCTCCAGGGACTGCCCGTTATTTCTAAGCAAGGGCCCTGCAATGACTTCCCTGAAGGGCTTAGGTCCCCAGGGGAATTCCAAACCTGAAACAGGCAACAGATGGGAGAAGGTTAAGACTCTTCAGTGTGGCCTCTGACCCAAGGCCTCGGGGCTGCAGAGCATGGCAGCGGTATCACCCCACAGTGTTTGTGAGCACACCCACAGGATCCGCAGCCACACGCAGGAATAAAAGCAGGACTCGTCCCTGACAGAGTCCTACCTGCCCTCCAGGCAATCGTTTCCGACTTGGCGTGATCACAGGGCCCATCCCCTGGGGCGTTTTGAAGAACACGGAAGCCCAGGTCATACCCCAGAGCCCAGGATCCAGGGCCGAAGCTGTATGACTCCCCCCCGACCCCCAAACAGCAAAACCGACTCCCTGGGTAACAGATGGCGAGCCAGGGTGGGGATATTAACCGCCTCAGATACTAACCGTGAGTTTCTTCTACTCCAACCCTGGGATCCTAGTGCATCTCAACTCTGACTGCAAGTCAGAATCCACGGGGAATTTTACAATATGATGCTCCAGGGCCCCGCCCCCAGAATGAGCTGGGGCCCAGGGAAGCGAGTGAGATAACAATTTGAGTCTAGGGAAAGGAAAGAGTCAAACCCACTCAACCCAGATGGTCTGCATTCTGATGACACTTAAGCCCCAGGCAGGAAGAGCAAATAATATGCTCCCAGCTCTGCCGGCAGTGCTTTCTCACAGGGTGGTCCACGGACCACTGCCTCACACCCGCCCGGGGTGAGGGGAGGCTGGGAGAAGCACAGACTGGCTGAAAATGCAGGGGATGGAGCCCACCCTGAACAAATGGACCCACGAATCTTGGGGGGAAAGGGGGAAATAGGATTGGCATTTTAGCAAGCTTCAGTGTGTGTGTGAGTGTGTGTGTGTGTGTGTTTAAATTTGAGAAGGAAAAACTTGATGCCCTGGTTCTGACTGAGGGCAATTCTGAGGCAAGGTGCAGTTTCAACTGGGAAAGTGTGTGACCAGGCTTGAAGCCTCTACTTCAGTGGTCGGCAAACGCATTAGTCCACAGAGCCAAATATCAACAGGACGATTGAAATGTCTTTTGAGAGCCAAATTTTTTAAACTTAAAATTCTTCAAAATAGACTCGCCCAGGCCGTGGTATTTTGTGGAAGAGCCACACTCAAGGGGCCAAAGAGCTGCATGTGGCTCGCAAGCCACAGTTTGCCGACCACGGCTCTAGTTGGATCAATAAGTGAAGGATAAGATCTTATGACTCCAGGGCAAAGGGGAAAGGAACCAAAGTTGGACAGCACTGAGCACCCTGATCAGAGCTACCTGCCCAGTGTGGCCAGACCAAGGCCTGCACCAGGACATGAGGTGCACTCACCACGAGGGGGGAGAACAGTGCCTGCAGCGTTGCTAGGGGGACTGCGCTGGTGGGGAGCACCGGAGCTCCAGCTGCCTTCAACAGCCTCCTCCGCCCTCAACACTGACTTCCTTCCTCAGCTCCCTATCCTTCGCCCATGAATTAAAGCTCCCGGGAGGGACATTCTGATCCCTTTAAAAACCTCAACCATGACCTGGAGAATACCATAATTACATCAAGACAATAATCTTTAGCCAAGTAAACCCACTTACGTATACAATTGACCCTTGAAAAACATGGGTGAACTGCCTGGGTCCATTATGCACAGATATTTTTTTTGAACCAGCAATTTGAAAAAACTCACAGATAAATCACATAGCTAAAAATGATGATGTTGTAAACGTACAGCATTGATAAAAACACACAGTACTGTAAATTTCATTTCTGTTCCTTATGATTTTTTCCTTTTCTTTATGATTTTCTTAAATGTATTTTTATTGATTTTAGAGAGGAAGTGAGGGGGATAAAGAGATAGAAACATCAATGATGAGAGAGAATCATTGATCAGCTGCCTCCTGCATGCCCCCTACTGGGGATTGAGCCCGCAACCTCGGCATGTACCCTTGGCGAGTATCGAACCTGGGACCCTTCAGTCTGCAGGCTGATGCTCTACCCACTGAGCCAAACTGGCTAGGGCTCTTTTTATTTTTTAAAAACATATTTTAATTAATTTCAGAGAGGAAAGGAGAGGGAGAGAGAGAAACATCAATAAAGATAGAGAATCATTGATCAGCTGCCTCCTGCACACTTCCCACTGGGGATTGAGCCTGCAACCTGGACATGTGACCTGACCAGGAATGGAACCATGACCTCCTGGTTCACAGGTCGCTGCTCAGCCGCTGAGCTACGACAGCCGGGGTCTTTATGATTTTCTTAGTATCATTCTATTTTCTCTAGCTTACTTCATGGTACGAAAATGTGTGTTGATTGATTGCTTACGTTATCAGCAAGGCTCTCGGTGAACAGTAGGCTATTAGTAGTTAAGTTTGGGAGGGAGTCAAAGTTACACATGGATTTTCCACTGTGTGGGGGTTGGCACCCCTAACCCTCACACGGTTGAAGGGTCAGCTGTATTCCATCTACACACCCTATGGCAATGGGAGGAGGGCAGGGTAGAGGGTCCGAGGTGGGTACAGCACGGACATGCCACGGTCTCACCTTCTGGGTCATCACGGATCACCAGCAGCCCATTCCTGCACACAACCTTCCCGGTGGTGGCGTCTAGGAATATTAGTGATGGAATGTTGGAAATTCGGTATTTGTTCCAAAGTTTAAGCTGCAAGAAGAAAAGTTAAAGAAGGTGGTTAAGTTCGAACTAGATTGATTGCAGAGTTCTTCTGAAGCCTTCAGGCATGAGGGAGGGGTGGCCTAGGAGCTGATGGAGAGCAGGGCTGGCTGGGCACATGGACAGGAGAGGCTGCAGCCCCCTGGCCCCTGCAGCCTGTAACGATGCAGGGACCCTGAGTCTGAGTCCCAAGCTGGCTCAAGCCATGGCAGAGGCCGATGGGGGCTAGATGACACTTATTCCAGGAGAATTCTTCTCTCCTATCCCTCCCCCAGGCACGTTCTCAAACAGGTATAAAGATGAAGATGGATTCTGCACATTTTTAAAAAATACAGTTTTTTATTGATTTCAGAGAGGAAGGGAGAGGGAGAGATGGAAACATAAATGATGAGAGAGAATCATTAATTGGCTGCTTCCTGCATTATCCCCACTGGGGATTGAGCTGACAACCCAAGTATGTGATCTTGACTAGAATCAAACCCGAGACCCTTCAGTCTGTAGGCTGATGCTCTATCCACTAGGACAAACCAGCTAGGGTGGATTATGTATGCATCTTGAACTCAACCAGAACAAGTGCTTAAGACAAAAGAGGACATCATAACCAGTTTGGCTCAGTGGATAGAGCGTTGGCCTTAGGACTGAAAGGTCCCAGGTTTGATTTTAGTCAAGGGCATGTACCTTGATGTGAGCACATCCCCAGTAGGAGGTGTGCAGGAGGCAGCTCTCATCGATGTTTCTCTCTCATTGATGTTTCTAACTCTCTCTCTCCCTTCCTCTCTGTAAAAATCAATAAAATACATGTTTTTTAAAAGACAAAAAGGGAGGCTTTTTATTGGTTCCTCTCCACCCTCTCAGCAGGCAGGTGCTCCCGTGTCCGGAGCCCCAGCGGGGAAGGGACAGGGAACTGAAGACAAGTAGCTACAATCTGCCCCTCTCACTGCCTCACCAGGTCCCTGTGTGCCCTTCAGCCAGCAAACACCAGGGAAGCAATATCCTGAGCCAGCCCCAACCCTCAACTTTCTTTTTGGTTACTTTGTTTTGCTAACCCTCACCCGAGGATATGTTTTCCCCATTGATTTTGAGAGAGAGTGGAAGGGAGGAGTCAAGTTAGAGAGAGAGAAAGAAACATCGATGTGAGAGAGACACATTGATTGGTTGCTTCCTGCACTGGGGCCGGGCATTGAGCCTGACACTGAGATACATGCCCTAGACTGGAATCCAACCCATGATCCTTCTGTCCAAGGGCCAACGCTCTAACCACTGAGCAACTGGCTAAGGCTCAACCCTTAACTCTTGATGCTACTTTAAACAATCCACAATGGTTGGCAGGTCCTGAGGCTGACTGCACACACTGTCAGAGGCCAGATCTAAGTGGGACAAGGCTGAGGACATGTGAATGCAACATACAGGAGCCGAGTACATGCAGCTGTCTGGGTGAACACCGTTCAGGTGAGCCACTGGGTGCTCGGGAATGTAACTGCTGAGCCCAGAAAGCAACATAACTAAGTGCAATGTCCAGCTACCGATGAACCTCCAGGACAGAAAGAAGCCGGGGAGACAGGAACGGCCCATTGGGGATTCAGCTGCGAGCTTCCCTTCCGGGGCCAGGGCCGGGGCAGGAGGCTGGCCACCGGGGCCTGGGCAGAGCGGGGCCTGGGCAGAGCGGGGCCCGGGCAGGGGGCTGGCCACTGGGGCCTGGGCAGAGCGGGGCCTGGGCAGGGGGCTGGCCACCGGGGCCTGGGCAGAGCGGGGCCCGGCATGTCTAAGGAAACTGGCATCAGAGGTCCAGCTGCATACAGGAGAGAGAGAGGCAGGTGTGGCTGTGGTTATTATTGCTTTTAATTCAATCCCAGGCAGCGAGGCAGCTGGGAGGGCAGGGGATCTGCCAAGGAATGCTAGGCTCCCCCGGTCTGTGGAGACCTCGGTTTTGGCGGGAAGGGTTGTGGGACTCCACCTCAGACTGGGTGGCCACGCCTGCAAGCTGCACGCTTTTCCCAGCCCCGCGTGTGCGATGGGCTCCCCAAGCCAGCCCTGGACCCAGAGCAAGCGCGATTCTGCACATCGTTTTCAATGCCGGCACCGCATCGTCCCAGGGCTGCCTGGCACCGGGGGCAGGTGAACCACTCTTAAGAGCAGAGGCAACAGCAAAACAAGGCCATCTGCTGCTGCGTCAGCTTCACACACTTTTATCTTAAAGAGGCACGAAAAGGAAGATTAAGATGATTGGATTTTTCTGGTTTAAATATTAGGCGGGGGGAGGGGAGTAATTACTGGAAAAAATGGAGACAGCACAGCATGCAAGAAAGTTGAGATAAAATCACCCATGACTCACCGCTTATGAAAGCTTAGACAATTTCCACCAGTGGCAAATGAGAGCACCCATTTCCTCTCACCAACATTAACTTTTCCCATTGAATAGGGAAAAAAAGATACCTCATGTTTGTTGCTTATTTTTTACTTATTGATATATTCTATCTAATAAAAGAGTAATATGCAGATTGACCATCACTCCAACACACAAGATCAAGATAGCTGCCCCCATGGGGTCAAAGATCCTGCCCCCATGTGGACACAAGATGGCCACCACAAGATGGCCAGCAGGGGAGGGCAGTTGTGGGTGATCAACCCTGCAGGGGAGGGCAGTTAGGGGTGACCAGGCCTGCAGAGGAGGGAAGCCCACATGCCTAAAGTGGGCCTTGGACCCAAACAAATTCTAATCCTCTTGCCAACATGTGCAATATCTGGAGGAGAATAACTTTAAAAAGAAAGGTTATAAAAAGAGAAAGAGAAAATGGCAGACAAGGGGCTGAGTTGGACTACAGACAATTCTCTTTAAGCGTTTGGCTGTAAAGGGAGCAGAGAAATGGGACCGTAGCTGGAGAAACACACGATGAGGTCAGACGGGGAATATTTGAAAGATGAGGTCAGAGGGAGGATATTTTAAAGGTGAGAGATACTATAACATATGCTGTTGGGGAGAATCCAGAAGAGAGATTAAAAAAAATAATAATGAAAAGAAAAAAATGCAAGAAAAAGTCCTTGAATAGGCAAAAGAATAGGATCTAGGTCACAAATGAAAAGATGGAGTTGTAAAAATAGCTAATTTTAAAATATATATCCTCTTACTTTAAAACAGGTTTGCAGTCTGAAAAGAACAGCACATACTGGCTAAAAAAAAGAGACAACTTTTTTTTTCAACAGTTACACCATTTATTTCCTTTTCTTAGTGAGCTATATTGGCTGACAGACAATACTGAACAGCAAGCATCCTTATCGTCTACCTGGATATAGATCTGTAATATTTATCTTCATATGTAATATTAGCCACTGGTTTGAGACAGTCTTTAGCATGTTGAACAAAATAGTCTTAAATATTATTCGGCCTTAAAAAGGAAGGCAAGTTTGCAATATGCTACCACATGGAAGCCCCTTGAGGACATCATGCTAAGTGAAAGAAGTCAGTCACAGAAAGATGGGTACTGCGTGGTTCTACTTATGTGAGGTACTCAGAGCAGGCTAAAGATAGAGATTATAGTGCTGGTTGCCTCGGCTGGGGTAATGGGAGAAAGAACTACCGTTTAATAGATATAGAGTTTCAGTTTTACAAGATGAAAAGAATTACAGGAATAGATGGTTGCACAACAATGTGAATCTATTTAATACCACTGAACTATACACTTAAAGAAGGTTTATTTTAGATGGGCTCAGCTGTGGTTGCTCAGTGGCTGAGCATCGACCTGTGAACCAGGAGGTCATGGTTCAATTCCCGATCAGGGCACACGCCTGGGTTTCAGGCTCAATCCCCAATGTGGGGCGTGCAGGAGACAGCCAATCAATGATTCTCTCTCATTATTGATGTTTCTCTCCCTCTCCCTTCTTCTCTCTGAAATCAATTTAATATTTATTTATTTATTTATTTATTTATTTATTTTTACCAGTTTTGCTGTTAAGGTTACAGCATCGGCCTGAGGACTAATGGGTTCCAGGTTCAGTCAAGGGCACATACCTGGGTTGTGGGATGGATCCCCACCCCGGTCGAGACACGTGTGGGAGTCAACCAATCCATATGTCTCTCTCAACTCAATGTTTCTCTCTCTTTCTATCTCCCCCCCACACACAGTTTCCATTCTAAAAATCAATGGAAAAAATATCCTCGGGTGAGAATTACCAACAACAAAAAATGGTTAAGATGGCAAATTTTATCACACACACAAAAAGCTTTCCATAACTTATTGTCCAAAAGTTCCATCAGGGATAGGCGGTTACTTTTTGGTTCTTCTTTTGACCTGCTGTGGTGTATTTCCTCAGTAGTCATTCTGAGGTCGAACCGCCCTGGCCTTCCTGAAAGAACTCTTCCCTGGCCACATGAATGAAGGGGTCACTACGGTCATATCGTCCCTGGAGCCGGGGCTCCTACAACCAATTGGCATCTTGTAACAAGACCCTCTTTTTGGGTAGATGTAAATTGCAGCCTGTGAGCTCTAAATATGAAGAGGGCAGATACAACCTGATTAAATAGAGCAGTCTGGCCGGGACCGGTTTGGCTCAATGGATGGAGCGTCGGCTTGGGGACTGAAGGGACCCGGGTTCGATTCCGGTCAAGGGCATGTACCTTGGTTGCGGGCATATCCCCAGTGGGGGGTATGCAGGAGGCAACTGATCGATGACTCTCTCTCATCGATGTTTCTAACTCTCTATCTCTCTCCCTTCCTCTCTGTACAAAATCAATAAAATATATATTTTTTAAAAATCTGTTTAAATAGAGCAGTCTGAATGTAGCACCCATATTATACTTGAAATGGAAGCATATGATTGGCTCTTGACTAAACTTTTTTCTTTTTTTTAATGGTGAATTGTGGTACGTGAGCAAACTAGTCCCTAAATGCTTGGCCACTCAGCATGAGTCATAAAGGAGGCCCTGAAGGCTAGCCTGCTTGGGATAGCCTGAGGGCATCAGGCTAGACCTTTTTAAGACTTCTCCCTTAATAGAG